CAGAGTATTTTGGTGGACTGGTGAAGAATTATTTTTTTCCTCTCAAAATCCCTGTTGGCTTTTTTCTGCCATACCACATTTAGCTAGATGATTTTTAGTAGTCTCTATAATTATTGTCTTGACTAATTTAGTTGATACAGAATAAAAGTTGGCAGGACTATAATTTCCCAGATTACTCTGGATTTTTCTTAAAAATGGGGCAACATTTGTTCCCCTTTGGTCCTCTGGAAGCTGACAGTTTTAATATGCGATCCCATTTTTATTATAATTATTAGCATCTTGGCTGCTTTTTTAATTAATCTATACTTTTTATCTGATTGAAGTTTCCAAGGTATTTTCTGGAGATGTCTTCCTAGAAATGCTGTCCTGGAGAGTGTATCTCCATTGTAAGTAGCAGTGGGCAGGCTTCTCCTCAGCATCCTGCCTCATGCAGGGAACTGACTGCAGCAGGAGAATCACAGAATGGTTTGGGTTGGGAGGGACCTTAAAGATTATCCAGTTCCAATCCCCACTTCCACTAAACCAGTTTGCTCAAAGCCCCATCCAACTTTGCCTTCCAGGGATGGGGTATCCACAACTTCTTTGGGCAACCTGTGCCAGTGCCTCACCACCCTCACAGTAGAGAATTTCTTCCTTATATCGAATCTAAATCTCTCCTCTTTAAACTTGTCCTATTGTAAAAAGGAGTTGTGCCCTTGTAAAAAGTCCCTTTCTTGTAGCCCCCTTTATGGTCTCCCCAGAGCCTTCTCTTCTCCAGGCTGAATAAGCCCAGCTCTCTCGGCCTGTCTTCATTGGAGAGGTTCTCCAGCCCTCATGATCATCTTTGTGTCCCCTCGTATGGACTTGCTCTAATAGGTCCACATCCTTCCTATGCTGGGGGCCCAAGAGCTGGACGCAGTAGTGCAAGTGGGGTGTCATGGGAGGGTGCCTCCTTTCTCTTGCTAGGTCTCATGAGTGAGCATCACATGGTGTGGAGCTGTTACTGCTCACCTGTACAAGAGTGCTCTCTGGTATGGAGGTGAGAGGAGGGGCAGCCCTTCTAGCCATGAGCTCTGGGTGAAATCCAGCCTGACATCCTTTGTGAGATGTCTGTGTTCACATGTTCTGGAGGCAGCACTCATCACCAGGAATTTTTGGTGACTTGTTTGTTATGTCTGTGACTTAACTGTGTTTCAGGTTTTTTTCTCTGCATTCCTAACCCTCATTTCACGTTTTGCCAGCTCTGAATATGCCCTTCAGAGTTAGAATGACTTTTCTGAGGGCTTTCTTATGAGTAGTGGCTTCCACCACATACCTTACTGTCTCTAGTGGCCTTTCTGAGCCCTTTTGTCACTAGGTATGTCACCAGATACTCAAGTTTTCACCTGTATATTTTAACCTTGGTATTTATTTTCTTCTGAATTAATTCCTTTACTTTTAAAACCAGATTAGCATCTGCTAATCTCTGACACTTGCCTATCTGATGCTCTGAAAAGCAATTCTTTGCGAAGGTCTCTGTGAGTAAAGGCTTCTACAGAAGCATCAAAATGACTTGAGAAGCCAGGTCTGCTTGTACACCAAGGGTAAATTAAAAGATGTCCCTTTGCAGCTCCTTGATAGCTGAGTATGTGCTTCATCCCAGAGGTGCCTCCTCTCCATACCTAACAATTGTTACTTTCACTATAGCCTGTATGGAACAATTTTAATAATCAATGTTAATCCCAATCTACCAGGGTTTAGGTAAACCACCTGAGTGGCCAATGGAGAATTTTTCCTTCTGACGTTCAGGGAAAGGGAATGACACAGGAAGAGATGTCCATGTGGACTGAGGAAAGAACCATATACGCACTCCAGACAGGATTTGTGATCTGAAGTGCTTCCTGAGGGAGGCTTATTCTTGGTAATCCTCGGTACATGAAATGCTTCCTTTTTCTGCAGTGTGCTCTTAGGCATGATGCAGACAAGCAGCTCCGTGTCTAACTATCTGTTTTTCCCAGCTCTTTTCCCTGATAAGAAGAGTCTTCAGGTATTGCTTGTGCAACAAAGAGCAGTATCTGGGAGTTTCTGTTTACCCTGCAGTTTCTTCAAGGTAGGACAGAAACATGGCTCAACAGTATCGGACATAGTAGTGGGAATGTGGCACTCTTACTTTGCCTGTGATTAGGAGAAGGTCATCTATCAGAGAAACAAGTGCTGCATGGGTACCATGACCTATCTTGGGGAGATATAGGCAATTACTAGATAGTGTTACGAACATTTTTCTGCTAAAATTCCTGATCTGGTTGATAAGAAAAGAGACCTTGGAAGCTGCATTCACAGTCCTGCTTTATTCTTGCTGCCTCTGATATGGACTGGAGTTTTGTAAAATGTAGGGCTACAGATAGATTTCCTTCTTCTGAGACAAGCTGCCTGGTCATCTTCTGTCTCTCTAGCAAGTGCAGGAGCTGACATTCCCTGGTCCAGAAAGCCAGCCAGGGCAGCTGTCTTGGGAGTTTTAGCCAAGCCATCTGTGAGATTATGGTGGATGGTACTGTGCATGGGGGTTTTGTTCTGTGTTGTTCCTGGAGCCTTCTGTAAGGATGCTCTTGTCTCTCTTGGCCAAGGCTGCTGTGTCCACGAGGCCAGCTGGGTTCTCTACAGGATGGATAAGTTTGGAAAGGCCGAAATTTCTTCTCTCCTTGTAGTAGAGGAGAGGCTATTTCTACCTCCTTCTTAGCAGTGACTGACACGAAGATACACCCTACATCCAAGTGTGTCTACAATCAGTTGCATTTTCAGCTACCAGGGTTTTCCATCTTGTTTTTTCCATCTCCCTTGCGATCCCTGTGGTGTGGGTAGGTGCATTGGAGCAGCACTGCTGCCCCGAGCTGGCTGCCCAGCCTCATGCCCAGCACCATGCTACAGCCCCAGGGTTACCGCTGCTCTGCTGAGTCATGCCACAGCCTGGGGTCATTTGATGGGCTCCTACTGCGCCTGGGGGAGGTTGCAGGGCTCTGCTAGTATACCTGCTCAGTGCTGGGGTTTTGGAACACATCTGCAAGGAGTCTTGCCACTGTTTCCTCCTGGTGGGTTCCTGATGCTGTTTGCTCAAGGCAATGGGCTGTGGCTGCCCAATGCCTTGAGGAGGGTGGCTGGCCACTGCTTCCCTTCCCCTTCCCCATTGCTGCTGGCTGATGATTTCCACCACAGCTGGAGGCAGCGGGCAGAGGGTGATTACTGGAGCTGCAAAAAAGCTGTTTCCCTGTAATGGGCTGCACTCCCAGTGCTGCGACAAACTACCCAGCTGCTCTGTCTCCCTCCCTCCTACTGCCATTCTCTTTCATCCCATTACTCCCTCCCTGGTTTTCTTACTCTTGTTCTCTTTCGCAGCTGCCTTTCCTTGACCACTTTTGGCCTGATTTTGCCCCTGCTGCACACAGGGGAGAAGAGGGGGCCAGGGCAGAGGCTTGCTTGTTGTAGCAGGAGATTTAAAGCTGGTGTGTAAAATGCAACACAATAATAATACAGGAGACTTCAGGCACGCTCATTGCCAACGTATTTGAGAGTGCTTTTGAGCAGGCAATATGCAGGGGGAAGCTGACTCACATCGCACAGATTATACTTGCCCATGCATGCCCACCTTGGAAAGTGTGTGTGTGCATGTGTGCATCAAGCTGTCAAGTCTGGCATGCTGAGTGTGAGACTTGCACATTAGGCTTTCTCCTCACACTCCCTTAGGCCTGTGTTTCGTGCACTTGCAGCTCAGCACCCAATCTGTCCCCTGATGTGTTCCCAAATGTGAGACACTTGCCCTGTCCCGTGATGTGACACAGCACTGCCTTGCGTGGAGGGCAAAGACAGCCCCTAAATATGTGTGTGTGGTGTTCACGCGTGTTTTGGTGGAGTCCCCTCACCACAGGATCTTGGGCAGATGAGGCCTGCAGACACATAATTTGATCCTCAGTCACTTTCTGACACAGAAGCCAGAGGAATTAGGAGTGTCTATGCAGATAGGTGTCAGGCATTAGCAGGAGGTGGGTGCGGAGTTATTTTTTTGTCATTGATTTGCTTATATTTTATTAATGCTCAGGGTAAACATATCTGAAGTTTATTAAAGAGTATCGAGTATAGCTGTGTCCTTGACAGGAAGCTTTTCTAGTGAGAGTAATAAAGGCAGAATAAATCATTGTCACTGAAGGATGTGGTGGCTTGTCAGTTCTTGAGAGATAGAATGAACCTCAGGAGCTGAAATCCAGACCAGGCGAGTAGTTGGTGATGGATTTTGTCATTTTGTAGCTGAATTTTGGCCAATGTGAGCAAAGCTGGCAAGTCTTCTAATTCTTGGTTGCTAAAATCACTGTCACTGCAGACTTGGTTTGCAATGTAAGCAATAAGACCAAGCCCTGGCTGAACTGGAGGGATGTAATTGATGTAATTTCCCCGTGTGTGTGTCAGAGTGAACTGAGGAGGATGGAGGACTGTCCACATACTGTCCTCTTCACTGCCAAATAGATATCTTTAGTTTTGATTTTTAGCAGATTCTTCTTCCAAGCTGCTGGAATTTTCTGGGATGGTACCTGTAGTTTTCTTCTCACTTGAATTCACTGCACTCACACCAAGAGTCTAGCATACGTGGTTGTGGTCCTGACTTTTGTCTTTTGACAAGAGGTTCCCAAACTGTGCATTGTAGCAGTGGATCACAGTGACAAACCAGTGCTGCCCTATGGCTAGACATCATATTTTGTGCCAGGATGTAGCCCTGGGCAGAGCCAAAACCTAATGTGCTGTCACTGGTCATGGAGCCTGTACAAACAAGTGTTGAAGCCCCTTATACTCTGGAGTGTCTTGTCCTCATCAGCTTCAGCCCCTCTAAATCAAGCCAGAGACCTAGTGCTTAGCTGACGCATTAGATCATGATGCCCAAAATCAAGAAAGGAAATCTCTAGTCTGTTTAAATACTGGACAAATAAAAGGTCCCTATGTGGGTGTGTGCATGTTACAGACAGCAAAAGGGTTTGGCTGATCTTCTGGTGTCCCTGCAGGTGCATCTGCGCTCTGCTGAGCGCCTCCGGAAGCTGTGCTGTGTCAACCGAGGCACCTTCATCAAGGTGGGACAGCACCTAGGAGCACTTGACTACCTGCTGCCTGAGGAATACACCCGCACCCTCAAAGTGCTGCACAACCAGGCTCCACAGAGCACCCGGCAGGAGATTGAGCAAGTTATCCGTGAGGATCTCGGCAAAGAGGTAGGAGCAGCCATAGCCTTTGTTGGCTTCTCAGACCTCAGCAAGCCCTGGGCAGCTAGAGGAAGGAGCAAGCAGGTCCCTGGTGGCTCTCAGTTGCAAGGGGAGATCTACCTTCTCCCTGCCACTGGGAGAACGCCATGCAAATCTTCCCTGTCCATTGATGGGCATTATTGGCAAGATGAGGAAAGAAGATAACTGAAGATTAAGGGTGTGGAAGCTGCCAGGTGGAAATGGCAAGACTCAGCAGAGCAGCATACCCCAGAGGTTATGCCAAGACTAACAGGTTTGCTGGAGGTCAGGATGGAGGGCTATTTGCAACACTGAGGGGTGGGAGCTGGGGGTGTTGAAGTGCAGAACAAAGATATATTAGCAGAGCTCTGTGAGGGATGACTCTTCTCCCCTGGCTAGACTCATTCCAGATAGCACTGACAGCCCTTTACTTTCTCAAGCCCCTAATTAACCCCCAAAGAAAATAATGGCATAAATCACTTTTGGTGCTTGCAGTCAGGTAACAGAGTAGCCTAGGAGTTTGTGTCACCATTAACCCTCAGCAGCTCACAGCACTGAGATCAGAGCCAGGTGCCTGTGTTCATTAGATACAAGGGAAGTAACCACAGTATTTAGAGAGGGTGTTCTGCTACTTTGCATCTTGCCCTTACAAGATGAGGGTCCCCTTACACTCCAGCCCAGGTTGAGGGGAGGCATTTCAAGGATCACAACTGACGTGATGAGATGGAGGCAGGAGGCAAAAGTGTGCAAAGGCAATGGTAGAGGAGGTACCTGTGAGCGGGAGGAAGAGAGGAGGTTGAAGAAGGGAAACAGCGTGTGCATTCGTTGTTGTTTATAGAGATACGTGGGGCTGTTTTGAGTTGTTCTGGACTGTCTGACTGTGTGGTAAGGAGGTATGGGGGGAACATGAAGTGAAGTATTTGCACCTAGTGGGTATATTATGGGAAGATCTGTGTGGGGTGGGTCTGCCTATGTATAGTTTAAGGATCTAGGTATTGTTCAGTCAGGAATGGCAGTATTTCCCTGCAGTTTAATGGCAGAGTTAATGTCAGCCTCTGACCTGTAAGATGCTCTCTCTCTTAGCACTGCATCCTTATAGCACAGCTGGTACCAGCTGTGTTTCATACCTCAGTGGATAGATGGAGCAGGGCAAGTTGGCTGCTCCCTGCAGACCCCTGCTACTCCATGGACCTCAATCCTACAGCCTTCCCTTCACAGGAGCTGCAGAAAGCCACCCCGAGGTTGGCCCCCATTAAGTTACCACAGCAGCCACCTCTGGCTCAACTTGTGTGGTGTCTCTCAGAGGTGGAGGCTGATGCTCAGAGGTGGGCCTTTTTCTTTCTTATGCCCTGGTGTCTTTCAGTTTTTTGGGACCTAGATGAACCCTCCATGCCTCATTGATTCCTAGCGAGGCAGCTCAAATCCAGTCTCCACAGCAGCCTTCCCTCTTAGCATTCACTTCAGCCACATGGGCAGAGGTGGGCAATATTTAATTTTAAAGAGACAGAGAGAAGGAGAAAAAAAAACAGGTAGAAATGGGAAGAAAGGAGTAGAGAGGAAATGTTAATGAGAGAGAGAGCGAGCGATGATAAAAGAGAGAAATTAAGAGAATGACATAGAAGTAAAGGAGCTGTTGAAACTGGGCAATATTAAAAGCTGAGGTAAATGGCCATGTCCATTAGTTACCAAATCAAGGTATTTAAAAACAGAAAGGATTTGGAGAATGTAATGCACCAGCATTGTCTTTGCTGGAGCCAGAGGACTTAATAGGTTTACTTCAGGAACAAATTTAATTCCAGTGTAACTACATCCTCAGTACATTTTAAATATGATATATTTAGCTGAAATACAGATGGAAGAAGGTCAAGGTGGAGTGTTAGGACAGAGGAGACTGCAAACAGGGATCCCGAAACCTTCCCCTTTGGGGCCAGCATCACACCTGTGAACTTGCAATTGAATTCAAATAGAAGAGAAAATGAGGGAACCTAGGTCTAATCCTGCTGCTGTCAAATACAAATAGCAACTGGAAATACAGAGATAGCTAGGGAGGAATATGACAAGCTGACAAATTAGGCAAGAGCTTGCTGAAGTGTATGAAGACCAAAAAACCCAATTTTGTGTATAGAAACATCTTCAGTCAGTTAGGAATGGTCTATCTTCTGATGTGACCTACTCCTGATAATCTTACCAGAGGGTTGGATGTTTGACAAATGGAGTGGTTTTGTGGCTAAAACCATGGAAACCATGCCAATCGGGCTGATCTTCCAGCAAAGACAGAGGGCTTGTGAGGTAGATTTACACCAGTTCAACATGACCCTGTTGCCACCACGCGGACTTTCTAATCTAAGCCGTAGTGGTTTGGCTAAATGATTGTGGGAGGTGATCATTGTCTTGAGTCTTGTATGCAAGCAATTGAAGTGGGGGGATTCTCAGGGCAACACGAGTAGTAGCCATGGGAGAGGCTGGTCAAAGAAATCTTTACAATGACTCGTGGAAATGATCACCGGAAAGATCATAGTGTCTTTTGGGGAAATGGTGGAGACACCACAGGTTGGACCTTTTCTGGATATATTCCTTGGAGCAGTTGCGAAAAGCTGTGTGAATAAGAATGGCTGATGTGATATGAATGAGAGTCTCTCCTACCTCTGTTTTCATCTTCCTTGCTTGAACAAGGTGCTGAAAGTGAAAACGCATCAAGTGTGGAAAACGAAAACGAAGCGGTGTGTTCTTTTGAGTTTGCAATGCCCCAAGAAGTCCAAGAGGCAGTACAGGCTCCATTGGGAGCTATTCACACATGCTCTGTGTGTGAATGTGTTGGTTCTAGGGCTTGCTTTGTTCAAAGTTGGGAGAAAGGGCTGGGGAGACTTGACAGTCATCTCCGCGGAAGCCAAACTGTATAAAGGGCTTAAATAGACGGAAAGACAGTCGTTTGGAAAGATGTCAGTCTAGCTCTGCTTTGTGGGAATGCAGGTAATGGGAAGTAGTTTCTAATGGCTTGATTAGCCAGCACCTCCAAGGAGACCATAGTTTTCATCCACAGTTAATTGTAGCTTTTACCTGTTGTTCAAGGACTATTTTGCCATTTGTAAGAAACCTGCAGCCATACAGTAATGGAGCTTGCTGATTGAGCAGGGCAGGATATGTCAACAGTTTGACTGTGATTTCTAAGCAAAGCACATGTGGTAGAGGAACCTTCTGTGCTGGGTTTGTGAAGCAGGATGCATTTTCACAGTGATGTTTGGAGAACCCAGCTTTAGGTTAAAGGGCTTTGCTCTCCTTGGATTCCTCCCGTTGTATCTGGCATGGCACCAGTGCTGCACTGTAAGAAACAGATATTCCTCATCTGAGAAGTCATTGTCCCTGCAGCAAAACTGTGGTTAAGAGGAGTGCTGCTCTTTGTTCCTCCAGTTTAAATTGCTCCCAAGATTCCCAAGGTGTTTTCTGGGTTGGATACACAAGTGTTATTCATCCACTGTTGAAATGTACCCATATACACCTGGGAGCATGGTCACTGCAACAATGTGCAGCAATGCCACATGGCCATTTGACAGGGAGGGACAAAAATCGTATGCCCATGTGAACCTGCCATGAGAAAGATTTAAAATGAGGCTGCAGCAAGGTGCTAGTTCCCGTAGCAAGAGACTTCTCTGCCCTCGAACTGTTGGAGTATGAGAAAAGACAGAGGGAATGGAAGAGACTCCCTTGTTTACTCCTATTTCTGTATGCATTCTTGGTACAGCATGGCAGCCTTTGCTGTGCCAGAGACAGGGAGAAGGATGGACTGATTCCCTTCCTTCTGGGAACCATTTTAAGCTCTAGTGAGACATATGCTTATTTCTGATTTGCAGAATGTCCTGGGTTCAGCTACAGCAGTCATTTTTTCTCCTTCTTAATAGCTGGTGCAGTGCTGTGTTTCTTGACTTTCAGTCTGGGAACAATGCTGATAACACCGATGGTTTTAGTTGTTGCTCAGTAATGTTTACTCTGACCAAGGACTTTCTCAGTCTCGTGCTCTGCCAGGGAGGAGGGGAAGCCAGGAGGAAGCAGAGACAGGACACCTGACCCAAACTGGCCAAAGGGCTATTCCATACCACAGCACGTCATGCCCAGTATAGAAACTGGGGGGAGTTACCCGGAAGGCCCAGATCGCTGCTCGGGTCGGGCTGGGTATCGGTCGGCGGGGGGTGAGCGGTTGTGTCCTTTTCCCTTGTTATTCCTCTTATCGTTATTATTGGTAGCAGTAGTGGTTTGTATTATACCTTAGTTACTGGAGTGCTGTTATCTCAACCCGTGGGAGTTACATTCCTCCGATTCTCCTCCCCATCCCTCTGGGAGCAGGGGGAGGAAGGAAGAGGGGGGGAGTGAGCGAGTGGCTGCATGGTTCCAAGTTGCTGGCTGGGCTTAAACCACGACACAGAACTATTGAAGAAGTGTTCAGCCCTGTGGGAGAGCAGCTAGGCCTTCAATAGGCTGTTGGGTGTTACACTCCATGTCCTACAGCATCTAAGTTGTTCCCAAGGGAATATGAGCCACTTTCTGTAGTTGACTCCGTATGTTGCCCTAGAGAAGATGCATTTACCCTGCCAGATCACAAGGTCTTCAGGTCATGATGCTGCAGATCCTGTTGTAGCCCCAGAAAGCCTCTTCCCATGCTGGCAGTGTTGTCTAACCCATCCGGGATGCCAAGACACTTGCCTGCTTCCTCTGATGTTGCACAGCTTTGTGGTTGAGAGTTCTTCCCAAAAGCCCTGATGTGTGGCACAGTCCGTGCAAACTCGTGGTTGCTTGGGGCTGTGGGACTGATGCTGAATGGCTCTACTGAACACCCAGGTCTCCCATTGTTTGTGATTCTGATTCTGCCCTTAAGTACCCTACCCCAGCATCTCTGTGCTGGGGTGCCCTGTGAAGCTGGCCCTTGCATACATCACTAGCAGACGTGGGAAAACTAAATTTGGGTCAGCAAGAGTCTCTTCTGCCTGCTATGGGTGTTA